TACCTGTAAGAGTTTTTTATTTGAATACATTAGTCTATCAAATAATTCATTTGATATGAAGATTAATTTCGATTGATTATGTATGGGATCAAATCAATAGAGCACATTCTTGCTGTAAACAAGTATAAGTAATTGTTGGGGTGACAAGGTATATTTGATAAGAACTTGGGCAAGCTGGGAAGGGAATTATGGAGGAAGATAAGGTAGAACTACAAATATAAGAAAACTACATCTTATTATCTTGATTACAACTCAAGATTCTTGCGTACATCAATTTACAAGATTCTTGCATACATCAATTTACAATTAGCTTATGGCTTTATATAGAGAACATCACCATCTTAACCTCTTTTGGAAAGGTTCTAGAAAGGTTTGATATTTTTCAACATCATTATTATATATCTCTAGATGTTTCTATCATTAGTAAAAATCTAGATAGATTATTTTAATCTACTAGATATTTCTAGATAAATATTTTCATAAATTATTCATTAATTACTCTACATTTTTCTAGATAAATATCTTCATAAATTATTCATTAATTATTATAGATTTATCTACATTACAAATTATATTTTAACACCCCCACTTAATTTGTAATCTTCATACATTCTTGAAACTGTAAGAATTTTTCTATTGGCACTGTTTTTGTCATGATATCTGCTAATTGCTCCTTTGTGTTGACAAACTCCAAGTGGATTTCACCTTTCTGTACACTGTCTCGAATAAAATGATGTTTGTAGTTCAATATGATTTGTCCTGCCATGGAATACTGAATTTTTGCTCATTGCAATGGCTGACATGCTATCATAAAAAATTGTAATGAAACCTACATCTTTGTGCTCCATATCTAAGACAATTCTTCTGAGCCAAACTGCTTCACAAGTTGCATCTGTAGTTGCAATACATTTTGTTTCTACTGATGATAGAGCTATAGTCTTCCGCTTCTTAGAACTCCAAGAGATAATTTTTAAGCCAATACAAAATACATAACATGATGTACTCTTTCGATCATCCAATGATCCTACGCAATCACTATCAGTGTAGCCAATGAGTTTACTGTCATTTTATTTTACATACCAGATGCTGAGATTCTTGGTCCCTTGAAGATACCGAAGAATTCGCTTTGCTGCTATATAGTGTAACTTGCTCAGCTCATGCATAAATTTGGAAATAAGATTTACAGAGTAAACAATGTTTGGCCTTGTATTAGTGAGATAATTTAGTGAACCAACCAGTTTTCGATAGGCAGTAGCATCAAATTTCTCAGCTCCATCATTTACTTGCAATTTCTCATTTAAAGAGATTGGAGGTGAAACTGACTTGCAGTCAAACATATGAAATTTCTTCAATAAATCTTCCAGATATTTTCATTGGGAGATAAATATTTCTCCCTTTGATAGCTTTATTTGAATACCGAGAAAATATCTCATCAGTCCCAAATCAGTCATCCCTTCATCATGGTTTAGTTCCTGTATAGATTAAATCATCAACATATAGGCAAATTATAAGAAAGTCTTGCATACCTCCTTTCTTGATGTATAGTGATGGTTCACTTTGGCTTCTTTTAAAACCATTTTGACAAAAATACTTGTCAATGTTGCTGTTCCAGGTTCGGTGTGCTTACTTTAAACCATACAGTGCCTTCCGAAGTCGATAAACCTTGTCTTATTTTCCTTTGATTATGTACCCTTGCAGTTGTTCAACATAAACTTCTTCTTCAAGCTCTCCATTGAGAAAAGCTGATTTGACATCCAGCTGATATACTGGTAGCTCATTTTGTGCAGCCAAGGCAAGAACTGTTCTTATTGTCTCCATGCAAGCAACTAGAGCAAATATTTCATTGAAGTCCACTCCAGGTTGTTGTGAGTAGCCTTTTGCAACTAAACGAGCCGTATGCTTCTGGATGGAGCCATCTTCTTTATATTTGGTCTTGTAGACCCATTTAAGTCCGATCACATCTTTGTCTTTAGGTAGGTCAACAAGATCCCAAGTGTAATTCTTTTTAATAGTTTCAATTTTTTCATCCATTGCCTTTCTCCAAATTTCATCTTTCATAGCTTCTTCAAAAATCAATGACTCACAAGCAAAAAATGTTACATCACAAGTTTCATATATTTCTCTTAAGAAATGTACATTTCTTGGTATTGTTTCAGATTCTTCAGATGAAGAGCTTCTTGGAGAGTCATTTCTTGGCCTTGGCCTTAGAGTGTTATGTGGACTTTGGTTTGGGCTTTCTTCGAGAGTTGAAGATCCTTCTCCTTCTATTGCTTCATTAAATTCAAATCATTTCTGCTCTAGGATGGAGTTATCATCCCACTTCCATGCTGTCATTTCATAAAATATGACATCCTTAGAGATTACCAATTCATTTTTCATTGGATTGAGCAGATGATATCCTTTTGATTTGTCACTATATCCAATGAATATATATTTCTCCCATTTCTCATCAAATTTTTTCCTTTTTTGGGAAGGAATTAAGGCATAAGAAAGACAACCAAATACTTTGAAAAAATTTACCTGGGGCTTTTATTTGTGCCATGCCTCATATGGTGTTTTGTTTTGGACAGCCTTCGTGGGAGATCGGTTTAGAATTTAATCAATAGTATTGACAGCTTTAGCCCAAAATTTGTTAGGAAGACCTTTGCCTTTTAGCATGCTTCGTGCCATCTCCACAATTGTTCGGTTCTTCCGTTCTGCAACTCCATTTTGTTGAGGAGAGTGTCGAACTGTGAGCTATTTTTAATCCCATTCTCCTTACAGTAATTCATGAATGGAGTATAAATGAATTCTCCGCCACTATCTATCCTCAACATTTTGATTTCTTTGTCACTAAGCTTTAAACTACAGAAATACTGAGAAGGCTTCTGATTTTCTGTTAAGAAAATAAATCCACATCATTCGAGTATAATCATCAACAAAGAGTAGAAAATATCTCTTGTTACTAAGAGATGGAGTTCGGCAAGGCCCAAAAATATCTGCATGCACCAACTCCAAAGGTGCTTTGGCTCTTCAAGAAGTTTTTGGAAATGACAATTTATGCATTTTTCCATAAATGCATCCTTCACAAATTTTATTGATTTTGCCAATGTGAGGCAATCCTATAACCATATCTTTTTCTTTTAATAATTTCATGCCCTTGTAATTTAGATGTCCATATCTAAGATGCCATACATATAAATCATTGGTGTTTTCACTTTTAAGGGCAAAATTATCATTCAGTGGCATTACAAAAAGGAAAACTTTGTTTGGAGTCATTTTAACTTTTGCTACTATATGATTTTTCTTTTTATCAGAGATTATGCATTCATTATTATTAAAATTTATTGCATAACCTTTTTGTACTAATTGCCTCACACTTAATAGATTTTAGGTTAGCCCCAGAACATAAAGAGCATCATAAATTAATTTTTTGTTACCTCCCTTTGTATGGACGGAGATGACTCCCTTTCCTTCAATATTTTGTAGCTTTCCATCACCAAGCTTTACTTGAGAAGAGACTTTTTCATAGTTGTACACAAATCTTGCAATTGCCTGTCATATGATTACTGTATCCACTATCCAAATATCAAATATTTTCTAACTCTTGTTGGACATTCATGCAAGAAAATAATTGTTCTGCTTCATTTTTTTTTAGAAAAATTAGCTTTGTCTTTATCATTGTTGAACCAATAATCACATTGTGAATAATTGAATTTTTGCATCTTTTGCACCTAAATCTGCAATCTTTAGATGTATAATTAATTTTTTTGCAAATAGTGCATTAAGAGCCAGAGTTACCGTTGAAATTTCTTTGATTGTTGTAGTCTCTTCCTTTATTCTAGGCTTGAAATGAACTTCGGCCTCCTCGTCCTTTTCTAGACATTCTTATTTTTTGAAATGAATCCCTTCCTTGATTTTCTTGTTCTTGTCGCCAATATTAACTTTGGACTGAAATGCTTGCTCCATTGGCTAATTTGTAAACCTGCTTATTCTTTGTTCATGTGCCTCGAGAGAACTCATTAGCTCATGTCTAGTAAGTTTAGATAAATCTTTAGATTCCTTGATGGCAACAATAATATGCTTGAATTTTTTAGGTAAACTTCGTAAAACTTTTTCAACAATTCTCTTGTTATCAAGGTTGTCTCTGTAACCTCTAATTTGGTTGACAATTCTAGTAACTCGAGAAAAAATCTCATTAATGGATTCAGTATCCTTCATTGCTAGATTGTCAAAATCTCTCCATAATGTTTGTAGTTTAATAGGGATGACCTTATCAAAACTTTGATATTTACACTTTAATATATCCTAAGCTTCTTTAGATGTTTTTGCACCCATGATTCTAGAAAAGATAGATTTGCTTACCCTTCGTTGTATGTTGAGAAGAGCACTTGCATCATTTTTCTTGTTCATCTTGTACTGCTTCCGACGTGTTTCTGTCCAAGTTATAAATTCTTCATCATCTACTGGTGCCTCAAAACCATCTTCAACCAATTCCCACAAGACTTATGAGACAAATAAAGTTTTCATTTGGATGCTCCAATATTCATATTTCTCTCCCTCAAATATAGGGATGAGAGTTTGTGCATAGTTGAAAATGGAAGTGCTTGCTTCCATGTTAGAATAGTATTTGAAGAACAAGGTTTGGAGGCTTTAGAATAGGTAAGGGGAACATAGCTCTGATACCAAAATTGTTGGGGTGGCAAGGTATATTTGATAAGAGTTTGGGCAAGTTAGGAAGGGAATTATGGAAGAAGATAAGGTAGAAATGCAAATATAAGAAAACTTCTTATTATGTTGATTACAAGTCAAGATTTTTGCATACATCAATTTACAATTAGCTCATGGTTCTATATAGAGAACATCACCATCTTAACCTCTTCTAGAAAGGTTTGATATTTTTCAATATCATTATTATACATCTTTAGATATTTCTATCATTATTAAAAATCTAGATAGATTATTTCAATCTACTAGATATTTATCTAGATATCTTCATAAATTATTCTAAATTTATCAAGATTACAAATTATATTTTAAGAGTAATAAGATACAAATCCAACAAATTACACATAATACACAATGTAGCCAACACAATGAAAACTAAAAATTAAGAAAAACATGACAAAATGAAATGAATTGAACTGGAAATAATAATAATAATAATAATAATAATAATAATAATTTGGCTTCAAATGTTCTTATGATTTTTCCACTTGAATGCCAATTCAGATGGTGATTTTGCAGAAGATCCATCTTCACTCGGGATTTTCGCAGCCGCATCCTTGAGTCCCTCCATTCTCCGGCGAATCTTCTTCCCATCTTCTCCTTCCATAAGACTTTTCACAATTTCTGCAATCTCTTCTGGTCCCGTTAGACCCGATTCATCACTTTTCGGTCTCAGTGACACTTTCAAACCCTCAGTCAACATCACTGCATTCATCTTCTGCTCTGTATAGAGTGGCCAAGCGATGAGAGGTACGCCATGGACAATACTCTCCAAAATCGAATTCAATCCACAGTGAGTAAAAAAACCTCCGGTAGCAGGGTGGCTTAATACTTCAATTTGCGGTGCCCATGACGGCACCACCAGGCCTCGTCCTTGTGTCCTCTCCAAAAAACCTTTTGGCAAGAAACTTAGAGGGTCGTTTTGGCTTTGTGCGTTGAAAAATGCAGCATTGGCAGACTTGTCATTAGGACTTCTCACTACCCACAAAAATCTTTGCCCACTAAGTTCTAAACCCAATGCTAGTTCATTGAGTTGGTCTTGAGAGAGAGTGCCACCACTTCCAAATGAGACAAACACTACTAAAAATGGATTGTTCCGTGTGACTTTTGTCTCTTATTCTCGTTATAAAAATAATTTTGGCAACATAAAATCACTAACAGACCACAAAATGGTGAGTCTTAGGGTTAATATGCAGGACTTACTATTTATCTCATATCTATATCTTATTACGTGAACAAATATATTTTCTAAGGACTGCCCTTTTAAGTTCAATTGTAAAATGGTATTCCACATAAATTTAGTTATGAAGAAATATTAGAAGTTTCAAATTTTTTATTAAATATTCTATCAAATATCTTATATGGTTGTGAGACGCACGCCGTGTGAATTTCATGTGAATCTCACACTCACATTTAATAGAATATTTTGTAAAACTTTTAGAATCTCTAAAGATAAAAAAAAAAAAGAAAAAAAAAAGGAATAATGCTTTTTTTTATCAACATTGATTATATATCTGCGTGTCCAAACTTATGCAAGGGCTTAAACTAAAGAAATTTTATAGTGGAAAATTCAATTCAACAGTGGAAAATTCAATTCAACCATAAAAAACTAAAAATCGAAAAGAAAAAAAATCCCTTAAGTTAGGTTGATCATTGGGCCATTTGTAATTGATCATAGTATTTTGAAGCGAATTTTATATTACATTATAACAAAATAAGTTTTAGAGACAAATTTATGGACATAATCTTTTTTTAGGGACAAAATATCTTAATTATAAAAATGACATTATTGTATTTTTCACGAGATTAGATAGTATTTAATAATGAATTAATTTTATCATTTTGTGATCAAATTCTTTGTCTCAAAACACAAACCAAATACATCATAAATCTTTTGGCATGCAATCTTTTGTCACTAATGTTTTTTTTTTTTTTTTACAGAGATTGAACGTTTTTTTCCCTTTTACTTATTAGTTTGATTCAACTATCTAATAAAATTGAGAATATTATTAATTTTTTTCAACTTTAAAACTGAGAATATTATCTATTTTTTTATTTTAAATTTTAAGCATCAATGTTCCATTATTATGCTTGTTTATAGATACAAAATTTCCAGGTTTGCACAAAAAATAATTTAGTTTTTTCTCTTTTTTTTACACATAATTTTTTTTTACTTCAATTTAAAATTGATATTTTAAAGTTTTAAAAATCAAAAATAAATAATGTTATTAATAATCTACAAATATATATATATATTTTTTTTCCCCTCCTAATTTGAAGTTATAGTGGTGATACAGACCACTATTAGAGCTGGCAGTGCAAAAAAAAAAAAAAAAAAAGGGCCAAACTATCACATCAAGGTGAGACCCACAACAATGCCACCTCATTAGTGCAGCTTTAGAGCTGCTACTTTAGTGGTCCCAAACATTATTCTTTGAAGTTATATAGGAGAGAGAATTATGGGAACTAGTGATGTAAGGACAAACGTAAGCTTCGTGAGACGACGGGTGTAACGCCCTCAAAATATAATACAAGACAACCATTCACAAATTATCACAAACATAGGAGAAATATCATCTCTTTATTTATCAGAGTTTTCTTTACAAAAGACATTACATGCATTACACTTTCATAAACATTAATCTTGAAACTATAGCATGTAACTCTAACTTCTAACAACAAAAATAAGTGCCCAAAGGGCTTACAACTTCCTAAGTTAATACTTGGCTACAATAAAAGAAGAGTTCTAATGCTTTACATATAAAACCCTTGGCTTGGTTTCACATTTAATACAAAATATAAGTAACAAAACGGAACCTTCCACTCCTAAACCTCCCAAGCTATGTCCTTGGAGGTGGCATGTCCCCTGTACCTAATAATTGGTGTCCCAAAGCCCAGTAGAGATATGCTAAACAGTATATGAGAATTAACTAAAACATTGACATCCGATAAATGTTTAACACTTGAAAACCAACTTACAGCTTCTCTATAACCAATCAATATTGACATCCATACTTCCATTCATTTACATTTACTTATCCAAATCAATTCATGGACATAGTTCATCATCAATTAAACAATTCAAAATAAGACTACAACTCATTTATCAATACTTCCATCATAAACATTTATTCAAACACTTCTATTTCCTGCCATTTTACGGAACAACGTCAGAGGGAACCAGCACCCATATATATATATATAAGATTTCCGGACTTTCACCATGAATACTCTAACCAACTTAATTACCAATGGAATCCATCCCCTATCTCTTCCCAAACAATGGAGTACATCCCATATCTCCTCCCAAACAAGATACATATACAATGTATTTAAACACGTTGTCATATACAATGACCAATTGAATCATATATTTAATGTTTTAATAAAACCGTCATATTCAATGACATAATCCAATTGATTAGTTCAATACCTAATTATCATGCAATTTCTACAACAATCATGATTATCCTCCACCAATTGCCCAAAGCAGATATTTCTAAACAGATAAATAAATCTATCAATAGATAATTTATCAATTTTTCCATAGGTGAGTAATTTATTAATCCATTAAACCATTTAATCAAATGTTCCATCAATCCTATAATTTCTAAGCCAACCTCGTCATTTATACAAAATTACTTATTTAATTCAAATTAAGGAAAATCTCCTCTTTTATCAAATATTATACCTGTAGACACCCCATTTTTGACCGCCCTTAAGACTTGGGTGCTACTGATGGTTTCCTTGGTCGTGAAAGTTATGCAGTGCAAAGGTTCGATTTCTTCGGCAAGAGGAGAGTCAAATCTACCCCACACCCCATTTTGGACCAAAGCTATTTTGGATGGTTTTTAGACCTTAAAACTCTCTCTTTCAAATATTTTTGAAATGAAGTTCCTACGATGTTCCGAGGCTCGCATTTTGTTAAATGTTGCACTTTTCGATAAACCGAGCGAGGACAAAGTGGAAATGAATGAAAGAGAGATGAAATCTTTGAAAAATATTTCAAAAAACCTTGTTCGGGGGTTTAGATTTGAAGAAAAGATGAGTGGAGAGAAGAAACCTAGTTGAGGAAGAAGTTGGGCATGAATTGCTAAAAGAGAGTCGAGCGGTCCTCGCTAAATCAAGCCTATCCATTTGTACACTTGGATTTAAGCTATGAGGCCACCACCGTTGGAAATCTTACTTCCGGGGCTTCATTTTTCACTTAAAAAAATCTCCTAAAGCCGAGTCTGGATGGGGAAGATATGATTGGTTGAAGTTGAGCATCATTCCGGTTGGACTGAAACTGAGCAACCTTCACTAAAAGAGGGATATCTCTTAGCACACATGGAATTTTGTTGTGAGTCTTCCATAATTGGAAAGAATACTTCTGGGGCTACACTTTAGGCTCAAGAATGACCTGAAAATGAGTCCAGATGAAGGAATTAGGCTTGCATCAAGTCAGGCACCAGGGCTGATTTTTTCCATCGGCCTCTATGGGAGTCCATGGGCCACAATTGGACCTCATCGGCCATAGGTCGGCCTAAAGTGAACCTTATCGGCCAAAAATGATGGCCGGTCGGCACCAAAGATGGCCGGTTGGCCAGAAGTGTCCAGAAAGCCTAGAATTGGCAGATATTTCTCCCTCAGCTGTTTTTAGCTGGTGCCACCTGTCCTAGCTCAGATATTTCGACCAAAGGTGATATTTTGCTATATAATGAAGCCTTGTATCTCATTGTCAAGGGTTAGAACTTTTAGGGAACAGTTTTTGACAAAAGGTTTGGGAGCTTCTCACACTAGAACCTCTCTCTACAATCCTCTCTTGAGCATTTGTACTAGAAGGCTTGCATACAACCATCTTTAACCTATCAACCCTTAAGAAGAGTTGATCACCATTGGCTTGAGGTCCCTTGGAACCTATTTTTGAGCTGATTGAAGGTTGTTTGGCCCAAATTTTGGCTGGTTTTACTACTGTCCTTCGAGGTTCTTCAAGGAAGGAGATTGCCGATCGGCTCTCTAGTGTGCCAATCGGTTATACGTATTTGGCCGATAGATTCAAAACTGGTCGATGACCCTCATCTCTTGGCCGATGGCCTTACCACATGGCCGATGACCTCTCAGCATGTCCATGAGGTGGATCGGAAGTGTTTCAGAAGTTAGCACAGTTTTCAGAAGTCTAAAACAGTGCAAACAGAGGCAACATGAGGCATGGCAACGGATTTCCGAGCGAAGCGATCGAGCATGCATTATTCATCATTCCGAGACAGGGCTGTGGCAGCTTGTTTTAGCTTCTTTCCTTCCTTACTTAGTTGGTTTTGTAACTTAATTAATTTCTTAATTAGTTAAGGTGTTGTAATAATTAATTAGTGTAGCGTAGCTAGCTAGTTTATTTATTCAGACCCTCCGTCGAGAGGGCGAATTTTGTAATAAGTGTGCGTGAGTGTGTGAATGCCTTCCAACCCCACATCTTTCTCCCTTTTACTTAACCACTTACGATGGTTAGTTCTAGGTCATGTTTTGATTACCATCCTTATGCTATGCAGGTTTGCATCATGCATCTGTATTACATGCACCAGGCTCGGCCCATCATACTAACTGCATTGTATTTCAATTCCTACTTGAATACATGATTATCAAGTTGCATTTCATATGCCATTTTAGAATAGCCGAGCCTATTTCTAGTTGCATTTTGCATGTGTTGCATTAGCCATCTTAACATAGCTAGGATCATGCATTGACTACTAACTAGCTATTGTTTTGGCACGGAGTACTAGGTAAGCTTTTATGCTTTAGCATCTTGCATGAATGTGAGTGTTAACATGACAGCATGCTTGCCATAACGCTAACTGCGTATGTGTTAAACTGCCTGAATGCCTGTGAGTGAAGGTTGGATTGCTTGAATTGGAACAATTCATTGAAATGCGAGTTTTAAGCCCACTTTGCGGAGTGGCAAAATCATGTTTTTTAAGCCCACTTGACGGTGGTAAATCAACGTCTTAGCCTACTTATAAGTAGCACCTTCAAACCATTTTAAAACAAACATGAGATGTTTTGTTCCAATTTAGGCGATCTTGTCTATACTTGTGTGTTGTGCACATCACATAGGAATTCTAGCTAATAACCGGAATAAGA